CACTCACTAGTCGTGTAATACTCTACAGTTGTACTTACTGTTTAATATATGATATATTTGCAACAGTTGTTTTGTTATTTCTTTAACCATTTACATGTTGACAACAGAACCAATGAAGTATATATATATATATTAAAAATAAAAAAAATATATATATATAAAAAGTATATATATATATTAAAAATTTTAAAAAAGACGAAAAGGACAAATATTCACGACACTTTACACCTACGCACATAGAGTGGGCTATAAGTTTTTAGCCACCCTTGATTACAGCAATTTTGCCTTGTCTAATAACGCCTCTTCTTTTTTTTCAGACAATACCATGTTAGTACCAAGCTACTCTCATCTATGAACAATAGTTGACTTATATCTTGAAATGAAAGTTCATGGAAGTAAGGAAATTGGTGAATTTCAACGGGGGCAAATAATAAGATGGCATCAGTGTGGCAAGTCAGAGAAATTGCTAGGTTTTTCTAGGTTAATCATCAAACAGTTAATAATATTGTCAAGAAATTTAATGAAGAAGGCAATTGTTGTGTGGAACAGCGTTCAGGAAGACCAAGTATTGTGTCTGAGTGAATGAAAAGGGCACTGAAGAGGGAAGTCATCTGTAACCATTGTCATAGTGTCAAAGATATTGCCAACAGCATAGAAATGTCACTATATGTGTTGAGAAAAAAGTCTGAAAGGGCTTGGCTATCAAAAAAGAGTTGCAAGAAAGAAGTCCTTGATTTCAAAGAATAAGAATTGGAACACTGAATGCCTTCAGGTGGCTGTGAAACATGGAGGGATTTGAGTAATGGTGTGAGGAACAAGTCTGGTTTGGAGGCAAATCTGAGCTGATTCTGAACTGTTTCACCTAAGCGGATCGTCAGGGAAGGCCGGCTTTCCCTGACGATCCGCTTAGGTGAAACCTTGGTAGGTTTGTCTGACTCTCTAGGTTTAACTAGGTCTGCTCTACTCATTGTATTGAGCACTTTATTTAGTTGTTTTTGGGTATTCGCAACGGGTTTTTTTTCTTTGGGCCTTGAACTCATATGCTGGATGATTATTTTCGGTTAACGTCAATGTTCTTGGTTCTTTCTTTTTTTTATACCTTTTTTTCCCTTTGGTATTGTTTGCTTGTTTATTTGCAAATCAATATACTGAAGGTTTTCGAGCAGGTATAGTTTCTTATACTTATAAGATATATATATATATATATATATATATATATATATATATATATATATATATATATATATATATATATATATATACATATATATATATATATTTGTATGTGTGTATCTGTGTGTGTGAGAGAGAGATAACGATATATTTTTACATATCGAGAACAGTATTAGGAAGTTGTCTGACAAAGTGGAAAAAGTTTTCGTCCTTCATGTCTTTATCGAACTAAATTTGTTATGTTGGTAGGACTAGACATGCGCACGACAGAGGGGTGTTGGGAATTTTAGAATTTCTTTGGGGGGGGCTAGACGAATTCATTTAGATTCTTTTACTTTCCATCACTTTTTTAAGTAGAAATTCCACTTGGATATTAACAGATTTGTTAGGAATGGTGAAATGTTGTAAGAACCAGGGCACAAATTTACTGTAGATGACATTGCGTTTTCTCTAGATATTTACGCCGTAGTAAATTATTTGCTTCTTTGAACAGAGTAGCATTTTTTATGTCAAAGTTGTGGTCAGATTAAAAATAAATACATACACGCACACACAGAGACATAAATATATATATATATATATAATATGATAAACGTTTATTAATTTAACATGTTTCACTTTTATTAAAGCTTCATCAGAGAATGAGATATGGAGAAAAAGAAATTTGGTTATTTTTACTTTGTATTGTTTGATTTTCATTGGTCAAACATGTATCGCGTGCATTCGACTTTTTAAAACCAACGTTAGTAAAAATTTGTGGCGTTTCGAGTTCAAGGAGAGACGACGCGTCTATCCGAAGTTTCAAGAAAGAAAAGGCACCCACAAATTATATTGTTGGAACTGCTAAGTAAGCTTAATAATATATATAAGAAGGATATTAGAATAATGCAGAACTTATACTGTCAGCAAACCGTCTGTATATAGATAAGAAATGAGTTCAGTAAATATACGAAAATAGAAAGACGTGTAAGACAAGGATATGTTTTCTCACCAGATTAATTCAACTTATACAGCAAGGCAGTTACGAGAGAATCAGAAGTCTTATCAAGATTCATTATTGGTGGCCACCATCTTAACAAAATAAGATATGCAGATGGTACAGTGATGATTGCAGACAAAGAAAGGAAACTACAATAACTCCTACAGAAGGATTGTGAAGGAAGACGAAGAGAAAAGATTAAACATCAATTGCAAGAAGACGGAATATAAAGATGTTAGTAAAATGGACAGCCCAATATGCAAATTACAAATTGAAATGATCAAAATCGGAGAAGTACAATAATTTAAATGTCTGAGAAGTGTTTTAACACATGTCAGAAAGTGCAACAACAAAAATTGAAGGTGCATTTGGATAGCGAAAGTTGCCTTCTAGAAGCTAAGCAAAGTATTAAGAAACAAGAAAATTTCATTCGAAGCAAAGAAAAGAATGCTGCAATGTGATATCCATTCTCGTATATAGCAATGAATACTGGAAAATCGTCGAACAGATGAAGAAGAAACTTGAAACAACAGAAATGTGTTCTACAGATCCCTGCTGAGAATTCCATGGTCCGAATGGAATGTGAGCAACGATGATGTTTCAGAGAAAATGTAAATAAAAAGGACACTTTTGCTTAACACCAGGAAGAGACGTTGAAATTTCTAGGTGACAAAATGAAGAAAGAGGGCTTGGAAAACGTCATACACACAGGAAAAATTGAAGACACGAGGGACAGAGGAAAACAAACCCTACCCCTACCTAATGAGCTTTAGTAAATGAACGGCAGAACAAGGTTTTGGGCGAGATAACAAAATGGCAACATTTATTAAGACCAGAAAAGGACAGGAAATTGTGGAGAGCTATTATCGTCAACATTCTGAACGGACACAGAAGAATACATATATATATATATATATATATATATATATATATATATATAGTTTATAATGTCATATTTCTTGGAGAAGAGTGCTCAATATCAGACGAAGAGGTTTTATAGTATAGGCAGTGGGGGTCATAAGAATATGGACAGTTCATTAATAATTAATAAATAATGAATAATTAATGAATTAAGGCAAAATAGTGCAAGTAATCAATAATAACTAATGAGTTAAAAGTGAGAAATCAAGTGACAGCCTTATACAATAGTTATAAAATAATCACGTTCTTGCATAATTATTTCTACAGACATTAAAAGAATGTAAAATATAACCATTCGCACTTGTCCAATAAACGTTAGAATAACGCAGTAAACCAGTAATAATTCATCTTCCTATCCATTGACCATCATATATAAACAAGTTGAACAACCCACTCAACACACATAATGACGTGAAGAACGCGTTCAAGTATGTTACTGTCGCCATTCGATATTGAGTTGACTTCACTGTCAACACTTATATATATATATATATATATATATATATATATATATATATATATATATATATATATATATGGATATTGAGGTGAACATTCAGTAGCGACAGTAGGTTTCATGATTAAATACAGTCGTCATGGCCTACAGATATCGTTTAATCAAGAAACAGACTGTCGCCACTGGGTATTGACCTCAATGTTCACTTTTATATTTACATACGTTTTGTCCCTGATATTGAGCACTTTGAACCTTAACATACCTTAAAAAGTAGAGCATACTTTAAAATTACATTTTTATCATATATATATATATATATATATATATATATATATATATATACGAAGAAATATAGTTTTAAGATATGGGATAAAGTGCTCAATATCAGAGATAAAGCATATGTAAATATAAATATAAAAGTGAACTTTTATATTTAACTTAAGTAACTTGTCGCCATTTTATGCGCATTAATTGTTTTTGATTTTATCGACTGCAAAATATAGTAGAGCTAGCTGTGCATCGTCTGTGAGAAACACAGCATCATCATGCAATTCACTCCGCGAGAAATTTGGAAATGGCATGCTGTACTGCTTGGCATTCGCACCAGGAGCTCCAATACGAATATTTCAGTGTGTTCGGGTGTCAATCTAAGTACAGTGAAGAGGATTCGAAAAGAGTTGGATGATTACGTAATTTTGAAGATACTGAATCTGTCAATGAGGACCTCAAACTCAACACGAAGGCTTACATCAAGTGCCTTCAGCAGTTAGTACTGCCCCGAATCAAGAGGACTCTGCACCATGCCGTACAAGCAGGAGAACCCAGTCATGGCTGTCAGACAAATTCTACGACCACATCACCCCTTATATCTGGCCACTTAACGCCCCATACTGCAACCCCTTGATTATTCTGTGTGTGTCACAGTTGAGCGAGAGAACAACAAAATTCCTTGTAACACCAAATGTGAACTGAAGGCAAGGATTTTGGCAGCATTCACCAATTTAAACAACAAGACCGTCCAGAAAAGTTGCAGAAGATTCCAAAGTCGCCTGGGGGATCGTGGTTGAAGCCAATGGGAATTTTATTGAATAAATTTGCTCTTTAGTATTTCAAGATATGTTTTTTTGTAATTTTGGTAATTAAAATGAGATGCCAGTGTTATTTTCAGTTTTGCGTCAAAAATGAAAATAACACTGACATCTTATATATATATATATATATATATATATATATATATATATATATATATATATAGGATTAATACAAATATAAGATTTTTCACTTAGCTGATTGCTGTTATATTCAGCATTGCGACTCCAGAGTTTCGTAGGCGAAACCCTTTTATAATTGTTCGGTTCACTCGTCAGGAGGATTCAGATTTGTGTCAAACGCTGGTTTCGTCGTATTTGAAACGCTAAAAGCAATTAGGTTGTCTAGGAAAAATACTAAACATGCATGGACCTTCACATCATGTTATTTTTTCTTTCAAACGATCTCATTTGTCTCGGGATGATTATCTACACGGACACAGACGACGGGTGGGTATTGCATTTGGTAAAACTTTCTTCTTTAAAAATCGCTGTAATTGATGGCAAGAGAAGCTTCAGAAACGTTTCAAAGTTTTCTTACAAGATTCACTTTCTTTGTTTGCTCTATTTAAGGGAACATGGTGGGGTGGATAAAAGAGTGGACATACGATCTACATATTGAAGAATGTATCAACCAAGGTAAAGAAAACCTGCGGGTAGACAGGGAGATTATATTGACTCAACTGGGACTCAATGGGTTTGTGAAGAACGTGGTTACGTTTGCTTATCACAAGCTGGGCGGAAAAATCACATTAGACGCCATATTAAGGGACATCGGATTGAAGAGTTTAAAGTTAGCATCAAAATTCACTGAATGATGATAGCAAATAGTAATATTAACTATTTCCTTACAAGGAGACATTCGCAGTCAATCGGTTGAAAATTGTAAAATCTATCTATTAAAACAATTTATCAGGAAAATAGGTTTCTCAAATCTTTTAACTGCTATCTCACTTTCCAGTATTGGTAGGGGTTTCTTTCCTAAACTTTTGTTTGAAGTAGTGTGGAAAGTCATCTTGGTTATGTCTCTCTTTGATTAACATATGCTACCATTTTATTTCTTGATATGATGTTGTTTCTGTTATTTGGTACAGTTCTTTGTTTGTGGTTCTGTAGCGCCAGACGATGAGATTCAAAGAACCGTTATCCTTGCTAAGCCCTACAGGCTTCATTCGATCGAAGCCATTTTTAAGCATTGATTTGAATTTGATATTTCTGAACGATTTTGGCGCCATGAATGACATCCCGACGAAAGTTTTTATCTATCTATCTATCTATCTATCTATCTATCTATCTATCTATCTATCTATCTATCTTTGTCCATTATCTATCTATCTCAGAGTTTTATCTATCTATTTATCTCAGTGGGTTTTATCTATCTATCTATCTATCTATCTATCTATCTATCTATCTATCTATCTATCTATCTATCTATCTTTGTCCATTATCTATCTATCTCAGTGTTTTATCTACCTATTTATCTCAGTGGGTTTTATCTATCTATCTATCTATCTATCTATCTATCTATCGCATTTTTCTCTTTGAATTTCTCTTTCCACTCCCGTTAGTTTCCCCTTTCTTTCAATATGTTTCTCTACTTTTACGCATTCTTCTCTTCTTCATTCGCTTTTCTTCTTCTTCTTCTTCTTCTTCTTCTTCTTCTTCTTCTTCTTCTTCTTCAATAATATATATATATCTACATTCCACCCGCCATAGATAGCAGGACACAGGGCTCTGATTCCTATAACCTTGGCTGGCAAACGGTGTACGAAAAGGAAAAATCAGCCTGGAGAGGGTTGGGCTCCGTCAGGAAACACTGCTGCTAGGGCGGCTAAAGTACGTGTGCTGCCCCTACGACCCTTAGGGGTTACGGGTCTCGTGACCGTCATCTACACTCGAATTAAAGTTTACATCTCTCTTGATATTATTACAATTATCCGCTCGTTGTGATTTTCAGGTTTCTGTCGATTAGAATAAATGCCAGGGAATTCCGAACTTTGACCCATCGGAATAAATCTTGCTCATTTCGCTATCCATACCTCCGTTTTGTATTTATTTATTGTTCTTCTCAGTTATTACTCACTCTCTTAATTTATACTACCCGGCCCCGGGATTGAACTCAACAAAGATGCAGACATTAGTCAAAGTATAACAGACAGGTATAAAGATACCACTTTATCTCAGAATGACCTTCGTTATCTTTATCTTCTTTTTCATATCTTTTCCCGCCGTTTCTTTTCTTTCTTTTAATCCCTTTTAATCCTCGCCATTTTACATAAGTAAGGTGGGGAATAAGACGCTGGTAAAGGTGTATCCCCCCCTCTCTCTCTCTCTCTTTCCCCATTAATCTCCCCCTCCCGTTCAATTCGATTTCAATCTCCCTTCTCATGTATTTCCTTTCAACCTGTTCTTCTTTATAACCTTGCTATCTTACCTACGCGCTTTTTTCTTTACTTTTACTTTCTTCTTGCTTTCCCTCTTTTCTTTCGTCTTTCTTGTGATTTTCCTTTCCTTCCATATTTCTCTCTTTCTTTTCTTTCATTCTTCTTTCACCTTATTTTTCCTTTCTTTCTTTCTTTCTTTCTTTCTTTCTTTCTTTCTTTCTTTCTTTCTTCTATTTTCTCATCTATTTTATTTTCTGAAAACTTTTATTTCGTTTCTCCTTCTTCCTAACTCGCGCTCGATGAAAGTTTCTTTCCTTATTTCTTAACTCTGACCTCACCCACGCCTTTCCGTGATTATTATTATTATTATTATTATTATTATTATTATTATTCATTTTAATTTTTCTTGTTTTATTTTTTCTTTTCAACTTTCCTCTGCTTTCTCCTGTCTATTCTTTATTTCACTTTCATGTATTTTCTTTCTTTCTTGTGTTTTTCACTTTTCTTTCTTTCTTTCTTTCTTTCTTTCTTTCTTTCTTTCTTTCTTTCTTTCTTTTCCCCTGCATTTTTCTTCTTCTTTGTCCGCTTTCTCGTAATTATTCTTACTTTTTGTTACTCAGTATAGTTCTTTTTCTCCTGTTTTTACTTCCTCTTTCAGTATCGTATCATATAGTCTTTCTTTCTTTCTTTCTTTCTTTCTTTCTTTCTTTCTTTCTTTCTTTCTTTCTTTCTTTCGCTTCTCGCTGCTGCTGCTGTTTATTTCAACTTGATGCTGTTGAAGATCCGATCATCCTACGCGCCGTATCACGTGTTAAGTGCGCATGTTCGTAAATCCACGTGAGAGGGCGACGAATTCATAATGCAACAAGCTTCTCGAGATGAGCAACAACAACAACAACAACAACAATAATAATAATAATAATAATAATAATTAAAGCCTAGAAAGACCAAAACCCCTTCCCATAAATATAGAAGTGTTATCAGATAAAATGTATCTGTTGAAGAATATGACAAAATAAGTGAATATAAGGATCATGAAATTGAAAAACGTGGTACCTTAAAGCGACTGTTTTACCTATAATCTTTGGAGCACTGGTTACTATAAAAAAAAAGACTACAAGCCACGAACATTAACAAGGTCACTGGTAGCTCCTGTTTACGAGAGATTCAAGATAAATGAGCTGTTTGAAACTGCTCATCTCCTCAGGAGATTATTATCAGTGTAAAGAAAATATAAACATATGTTAAGTACCACTTCACATCAGAATAGAATGACTTTATTGCCTTAAGCTAGGTCTTGGTTAATGACCCCTTAAGAGATTTGCACAAAATAGAAAGCAAAAGAAAATAAGAAAGTTGGATGCATTAAAAGCCGGAACAGAGATTGTGATTGAGTAAAGGACATGAGAAGAAAGGAAAATTAAGTTTGGAAGAAAAGAGATTTCACTGAATAGTTACCGAAGGCAACAATATTTTGTGTGTGTGTGTGCGTGTGTGTGTGTGTGTGTGTGTGTGTGTGTGTGTGTGTGTGTGTGTGTGTGTGTGTGTGTGTGCGTGCACGATCTTTGGCCTTCCCTCTTCTTCCTCAGAAGTTCGTTTGAGATATTTGATTCTTTTTCGACAAACCTCTGCTCAATGCATATAGCAAGAATATTAAATTCTGCAATTTATCTATTCTCAATTTTTACCCATCGGCTCATTTCTTCTTTTTATTTATTTATTTTGTGGGGGGGGGAATTTGTGTGTGTATGGGGGGTGTAATTTCTTTCGTTTTCTTTTTGCTTTCCTTTTTTCTTTTCTTTTCAATTTTTCTTTTTTTCTTTTTTCTTTTCCTATTTTTCTCTTTCTATTTTCTTTCTTTTTCTCTATCCCACATATTTCCTCCGTTTTTCTTCTGTCTTTTATTCACTTTAAATCGCTCATTCATTCGTTTTTTTTTCTTTCTTTACTTTTTCTTTCATTCTTTCTTCCCTTATGTCATTAACTTTTAGTCTTCCGTCCAAAATGAATTCTTTCCCGTGTTCTTTGGCTATAATGACTTTATATGCATTACTTTGGAAAGTAAATCCTGCTGCATTTGAAGATTGAAAACAAACAAATTCTTCTTTGGACTTCATTTATATATTTAATCACGATAATATTTCTCTTCATTATTCATGACATAATCGTATCCATTTGGCAAATTGTTGACCTTTCAGTTATAAAACTCTTCAGATTTTGGCACAACGAAGCCCCCAGTAACAATTAAGTTATTCGCCGTTAATAAATAGTTCCCTTTTATGAATGCTGCAATGATCTGAAAAGATGATAGTCAGATGGAGCATGGACAGGGGAGTAAGGAGGATGAGGCAAAACTTTCATATTAAGTGCCATTATCTTTTCCTGAATGACTCCAGTAATATGTGAACTTGCATTATCAGTAACAATCAACACGCCTTTATGATTAAGCAATGATGGTCTCTTTTTCTACAAATCTTTGTGCAATGCTTTCAGATGACGACAGTATTTCCCTACATTAACTTTTTCATTTTGGTTTAGCTCTTCATAATTTCGGTTGCTGCTAACCCTTGTCGTTTAGTTGGATATGATTATAGAGAACCCATATTTCCTTATTTGTGATGATTCTAATCCTCAATAAAGGTTCAATAGCAAGATTATTCTTCAATGGTGTTCATGATTAAGAACAAGAGTAGCCAGATAACGAGGGACGCATTTGTCCGAATTTAAACACTTTTCCTGGATAATGAAGACGTGATTGCAGTGCGACTTGCATTCAATTGTTTTGCCAATTCTTGTGCAGTTTGCTTAGGATTTTCCTCAAGTATGGTTTTGCAGAAGCTAAAGAACATCAATACTTCTATCTTATAGATGGTGTTATATTTGTAAATTTCTCCTTTGCGTTTACCTTCGCAATAATGTAAAAAAATGCATGCATTTGTTTATTCTAAACAACTCCACAATGTGTTAAATATAAAGATAAATTTGGATTACTAGGTAACGACTACAAAGAATTTAAAATGTGTAGAAGACAACGGAAAATCTGCTATGTGTACGAAAAAATCATAGCAATTTACAGATACCTAGATGAATGACTATTTGAGAATATCAGGTGGTGTAACGAATAATGGCTCGAAATTGTTAATTGGAGATCCGAGTCTAAATTCCAATCAGATTCGTTATTTTCACTTAACCGCAAATACTCTTGATAATAATCCACCTTTCCCCCAGCTATGGGTTAATTAATAAGACTTATATCAATGAAAGCTATTATGATTGCCCAAAAATAAAGAATAAAAATTAAAATGGCGTACAAAATATTTAGAATTCGGCATTAAATAATCCATAGAGGTTGATGTAACTTTAAACAAAAACAACGAACCAACGATGGTGTTCACGGCTCTCTACAACCTCCTATTCTTTGTATCGCTTAGTAATGTTTGTCTTTTTACTATCCTACCCACTTTCAATTTTGCCATCTATTCTGCTGCCTACACCTGTCCATTTTGTCTTCGATATGCCCTGTGAGTGTTAAGTTTTCCAAGCACTCTTTCCTAAAATATATTTCCTATAAATTTCAACTGTATCTTTCTGATTCTAATTATAAGTGTTCTTTTGGTTACCGTTTTCCTGAAAATATCCTCATTGCTTACTCGCTCTGTCCAATGTATCCTCAGCATCCTTCTGTAGAACCACATTTCTGATGCTTCAAGTTTTCTTTTCGTTTTTGATGAAATTGTCCAGTATTAAGAAATTAAAGTCTCAAAACCAGTCATTTTTGTTTTTTTTAAATTTGTGACAAGTCAGAAGGAAACGGAATGAATTCGTTCTGAATTCTTGAAGTTCTGAGGCTGTAAATCTTAACCGTTCTTAAAATACGACCAAAGAAATCCAACATCAGTGAGTTCATCAATTCATCAGCCACAAAAGTAGAAATTTTAAAAAAGGCTGAAACCAAAAACAGCATTACGATCATCAATGTTAATGCACCTCATACTGATCGAGTTCGTTCTGGATATGACGATAAACTACATCCGGCAGATTGGCTGTTTTGAGGAGTGTGGAACTACCTATTAATTGTTGTTGGTCTCAAGTTCACCCTGACCTCGGGTAGTAGCGCAGTTACCCCCCACGCCAACTAGGTTCAAAACACTATCAAAGTATATAAATAGGTTTTTATAGTAAAAATGCCAACAATACATTTTAGGAAAAAGACATATTAACAACATTTAAAAATATCAATAATACATTTAAAAATGTTAATACATATTATTTTCAAACGAACCTACCCTAAACAACTTGTCGACATTAAAAAAAAACCCAATGAGATTGGTCTGTCTTAAAACAAAATAAACGAAACCAAACTCGATCGAGTTAAAGAGAATCCAACAGAAGTTGACCATAAGAAGACATCGTTAATACAATGAGCAAAACCTAAAACGAAACTGATTATAACACAAAAGTTTAGAAAACAAAAGGTCAGTTATGCTTTCGTTCATATTCCAGAAATCTCTGAAATACAAGCAGAGGCACGTTAATCGAGATTCTAAAAAATACGGTTTGCTTAATACAGAATCCTTTGAAACAGCCGGCATAACAACATGGGAAGATCATCATCATGAGAATTGTGTCGACTTAGAGACTCACTGCAAATCTTCAGCAACTTTATATATAACTCAGATCTCTTCTCTCCAAACATCTTTGTCTTGTGCTAACTCACGAAAGTGTTGCAGATCTTCTAAAGTCTTCAAAGATATTTTTTTTTACGGGGAATGATGGAGTTTTTGATGGTTGGCCAAACCGCGTCTCGTGAACCACATGCAACTCTTTGAGCTTTAAGATGCTTCTCATGGAAATATGAGAATAGCTGGACTCCTTTTTTTCCATCGCATTTAATATAAAAAGTAAATAAGAAAAATTAAAGTTTTATAATTATTTCCTGGGTATGAATTGAGACCTCAGTGGATTAAATCGTTTAAAGTTTTATGCTAATGTGTATGTGACAAAAACCTATGTGTAAATTTTATTCATGTCTTCTGGCTCTCAAACATCTGAACTTTATCGTATGTGGCTCTTAAATATTAAGAAAGTTTGGCCAACCCTGATATATACTCTGGTTTTCCGTCTAAGGTTTATGCATTGATTACAAAAGCATTTCCCTAATGTATAGTCTCTATTTCCAGAGCTATTAACTTGGGCTGTTTAACACTGATATTAATACAAAGTCCTGCATTGATTTCGATTTCTTTGGAGACAAGTTACATCCACGGTTTAACAATCAATGAACTAATAATTCATGCTTTTCTTTTTCCACAAATCCTCTAGCATTAAATGCCCCGATGTTAAAATCATTCTATGAGGTGTGCCTGAAAAGTAAGAGGACTGGTGTCACTATTTACTTCAATTCCAAACAACAAACTAAATCGTTTCCCCTTTATAGTAAATCCACCTCGAGTCTAATACACTTTTCTATCCTTTTCTGTCACGCTTCTATGCACTGCTGGAAGCATAATTCTCGGATGCCCCTCAGCTCCGTCATTACGGCCCATTTCATGGACTCCAAGCTTTCAAGATGGATCCTCTTGCGTTTAGAGAAAAGAAAAAAGTTACACAGAGTTAGGTCAAGTGAATAGGGAGATTGTTCTAGTACTACAATGTTCTTCTCGCCAAGGAACTGCCAGATACTCAGGACGTTGTGAGCAGGTGCATTGTCGTGATGGAGCAGCCACAATTTGTCCTGTCACAACTCTCGTCTCTTCTCTCACACTGATTACAGTTATATACTCCCAAGATATCATGTTAGATAACACAATCCGCT